CTGCCACTTCCTGCAACCCCTGCTGCTCCCCCTGCCACTCTCCATTCTGCTGCAGCTTTCCACAGCAGGCTGCTCCCCCTGCTTCTCCCCATACCACTGCTGCTTCCCCCATTTCTCCCCACACTCCTGCCACTTCCAACAGTCCTTCCACCACCCCTGCTTCCCTCTGCCTCCCCCACCACCACCTGCCGCTTCCCACTCTGGCTCCAGCCCGCCCCAGCTAGCAACACACAGTTCCCGGTTGCTGGGCTGATCGCAACAGTTTCTCCCCCTCCCTCCATCTGATCTTATCTTACTTTCCACATGGACAGAGGGAGGTGGGGAACAGCCCCAGGGTCCTGAGGCCAGAAGCCACAGAGGCTTCTGATTGGGGGCTGGAATGAGAGGGAGGTGGAGGGCTGGGGGTGGGGTAGAGCTGGACAGGCCTTGTTGCTCAGCTGCTGGGTCCTGCCACCAACTCCCCCTGGGTCCTGCTGCTGCTGGCTGCCTGTCATCTTTGATAGAATGGCCTGGTGGGCTGCATCTGGCCCACGGGCCATATTTTCTCGTCCCTGAATTAATGGCATGATGGAAAGCAGCTACAGAGTTATTACACGTATTTTGTGGAATAACTTTGTAGCTTATTCCTCTTTTTATCATGCCATTAACTGACTGAACGTGTGGTCAGGTGACCACTTAAGGCATGATTAACTGGTTAATCACTCCTTAAGTGTAGCATGTAGATGGTGCCTTAACACCAGATAACTGCATTATTTGCTTAAATACACAATACAATGCCAGTCTAAATTTTCAGCTTGTCGTTTACATAGTGTTGACCTGGCCTCGGTTCCCCTGTCATGACTGTTTACACTGCCCAGTGGAGGCAGGGGAGGCCAGGGAGATGCCAATTAATCCTATCTGGCCCCAGGCCTGTCCGCCCACACCTACTGCCAGAAGCGCTAGAACAGGCGGACAGGCAGGGTCTCCATGGAGACCTGTGCAGGATCCCTGTGGACAGGGCACACTTGGTGAGGTGGATGGCTTGGGTAGGCAGCAAGCGGTGTCCAAGACAAGTGGGCAGGGCTGGGCCTGGGATGAGCCAAGGCTACATATTATATAACCTGGTAAAAGCAAGGTTGGCTACGCTGTAGTAGCCAATTTGCTTTGAGTACATGGTATCAAATGAGGTGTAGAAAGACTCATTTCTTCAAATTTGAATGATTTATTTTTTCCCTTAAAGGACATGTGGAAAAAAATGAAAGGTGTCCACTTAGGTCCAAAAAATTATATTCTGTTGTCCTTGGTACTGCTACACAATAGTTCAGTGTTTAATCAATTCAGCTATTACATCTGTGATTTAAGAAACCTAGAGCCTCCCTCCTCAAAAAGTAATAACAGAGATGAAGTGTCTTTAGTGAAAAAAACACAACAAAATGGATCCCAAGAGAGATCTTTGGTAAGTTGCCAAATAACAAAAGAATGTGTTCTTAATAAAATAAAGACAGTACCAGCCTGATGACAATGGCAAAACAGAGAAGGTAGACATGAGGAATAGACGATCTGTTAAACCTTAAATTCTTATTATAGTAATCATGTAGGTAATTATGCATGTAGTTTTCTCTTCCAAGTCACACATTAAGTATTTTCTTAGTGCATTTCACTTATGAAATAAGAGTTGATATTGAGGATTAAAGATTTTATATTTAGTTTACCTTTGACTGTTGGTCCACATATAAATAGCCAACACTGCAGTGAAGTCTCACTGAATGAGCTTCTTTATCTAATACATCACAATGTATCGGTTTTTCTTCCTAAAATAAAGAATGAATAACCAATAAATGGTTGGTTGATTAATCTAGTATAACTGTTGGCAAACTTACTTGTTTCAAATGTAAAGCTAAATAAATTCTGTTTGAGTGTTCAATACTTCAGTGCAACAATAATGAATTATTCCTACTGCTTATACTAACAACTCCAATGAGTCTATGAACCTGAATACCATGCACTGATTACACTTTTTCACTGCCTTGTCACCATCTAAAAATAACAAACAAAGTATACCATCAGTATACTAGTATACTGTTAATATGTTAATATACAGCTAGCATATTTAGCTCCAAACATCTAGGAATCACTGTTTTTTCCCTCTCAAAATACATTTTTTACCAAAGTAGGTGGATTAACAAAAGCTTAAAGCAGAAGATCTTAACTATGGTCAGATTCTCCCATTTAATTTCTTTCAGGGTCAAAACTGAAAGGTAGCAAAAAATGAAAAAAGAGCAAAACATCGGAAATATTATATCTGCAGTTTCAACTACATTATAGTAAAAAGCATTCTGTGTAATGCAAGAATGTTAATGTGCATAGACTTCTGATTCTTACCAGGTCTAGAATTTTGATGAAATACAGGCCTTTTGGGAGTTGGATGTGGAGGCCAGTTTGATATGCATCGTCTCCAGCATTGTAGAGAGAAACATTCAACAGTAAAGTTTTCATACTTCCTACCGCAAGATATGTCTTCTTTTCATTAGGTCTATAAAAAGAATGAATACATGGAATGTGATATCTAAGACATGCATACATAGATAGTGGCCTACATAAGATGAGTGTCTAAAAAAAAAAAGAGATGAGTGTTTGGGAACAAGAAAGAGCCCATTCCTTTCTTTGATTTCAGCTCAATCAACTATCTGGAAAAGGCCAATTTTACGGTACTTTCCCATCTCCAGTACAGTAAGCAGGAGGAAGAAGCAATAGGGACACCTGTCCCAAAGATGCCAACTTGAGGCAGGACACAAAAACAGTAGTTGCCACCACTGCTGCTCTCCTGGCTCCCATGTTGCCAGCTGCAGCTATTGCTCCATGCACCACTATTGCCCAGAGCACAGATATGTCCAGTTACACCTCCTCTCCCTCTATCAGAAACCCATCTTCAGCCATCCACTCTCTAAACGACAGTCAGGCATAACAGCATCATTCATTTACACTGCATTTTTTAGGATTTGACTGGGTATTGGAGTATTACCACTTAAATAAGGAATGCTGCTTGCTTTCTCGCTTAGCTACTTTACCGGACAGGGGTATATATAACTGTTGTACTGATGCAGGATGTCCAGGGTGAAAGTTATGCACTGAAAGAGAAGTCACATATGATTTATGCATAACTCATGCCTACTTAAGCCCCAGTGTGAGGATTTTGTAAGATTTGGCAGGACTTTTACATGCAGCTCAGGTCTATGTAGAACAGAGAGCACTGGAGCAAGGATGCATTTCACATCCAAATCTATTCAGAAATAAACCTGCACAAGGTGTGTTACGGATATACGACTTAGAGTTTCTAGTGCCACAAGATTAATGAAAAAAACTCTCTCTTCCTGATACTAAAATCTGTTTTTGTGATTTTTAACGTTCTACTTTGGGGAATGTCTGTAATTAATACTCTCTTATTTACACCCTGTGCTATATAAAGGTTGCAGTATTCATGTTTCAGTCCATGTGAGCTAATGTGAAACAGGACACAAGGAATGTAAGTGAACATGTCTATCTTATGTGGCACTTAGTGTTCCATAATCATGTTACAAGTGAAGGTACCCTACAATGTTCTAAAAGTAAACTTTAATTTGACATTAAAGTTTAATTAAGACTTGTACAAGAGCTGCCTAGAAATAGACATTTATCAAATATTCTGGCTTGGAACCAAAGCATTAGTCACTGAACACCTTTGGGAAAGAAGTTGGCACTTAGACAAGCAACAGAAGGTGAAAGCACTGCATAAGCAGCTAGGTTCCAAGACAACAGCAAATTAACGAGAAACACAGTGATAACATTTAGTGGCTGGATTTTTAGTTAACTTCACATTTTTAAGCTATTTTGCCACATTTACATAATCATCATTCTACCCATTTCTGTCACACATTTTACTGCGTTCTGATTCATTAACAAGGTACCATCAAAAAGATGCCCACCAGCTTAGTACACAAGTACGATAAAGCACCAGGTGCACATCTGGGAGTATGACAAAGCTGAACTACAGCTATTCCCTGATAATCATATTTCATTCTTCATTAAAAAATGCATAATGCATACTTGAAATTTACAGAGCAGACCAGAATTTAACCAATTTAAACAAAAGAAGATAGTTTGTACATGGTGAGCCATAACTCAGAAAGTAAAGAACAAGAATACAATGAAGTATTTCAGTGACATCCCCTATTCAATTTCATTCTTTTATGATAAATTTCTTGGTCTTCTTTAAAAAACAAAAACAAAAAAGTGTTTACTTTGCTGTTCCTGGATAATGAATGCATTCTGTCTAGACAACATAAATTAATGCTTCACAGCTAACTAGTTTCTAATCAAGATACTGGGGCAAAATGTAATTTAAGGTGATATTTCACAGTTTAGCAAGATATGTAGCCTTTTTATTCTGGCTGAAAAGTTGGTTCAAATTCTCATGTCCTATAGTACACTAATATGAAACAGGTGTACAGTACTCTTTCTGATCCTCTGATACTTATAAAATTGCTTAACTTGTATTAGCACTAATAAAAAAACTACAAATCCATTCCTCTACAAAAGTGCATAATTTGTCAAGCAATAGTCTTAAAGCTTAAGAAAATGAAAATGCTTAAGACTAAAATCTTGAATAGAATGTTAAGCTAAGCAAATAAGCCCACACCATACACCCACTTTAAAATCTATGACAAAAATTTGTGCCCAGAATTGCACAGAAATGGTTAATCAAAATTGTATCTATTATGTCTTGTATACCAATTTAGGATTCTCTACAAGGACACACTAGCAGTTTAGTTCAGATAAGACCTTTAGCAAAACATTTAGTGTTTGCAAAACAGAAGCATGTCACAAATTTCACAAATGCAACAGTTCTAGCTCTGCTTTATCCAGGGGTACACAGCAAGTGACTGTTCCGCCACAAGTTACTCAGGAAGAGAACCCATCTTTTCTGCTCCTATGTATGGTACCTAAGGGTGGGAGGGACTGGACTTGAGAAGATCATTTAAAATCCAATTTGCAATCAAAATGTCAAATTACCTTGGGTAAAATTGTGTCACGTGAACTGAAAACTGGTTAATAAATCAACCGAAATGTATCTTGCTTAGGAAAGTTAAGTGTAGTTCTACAAGGATCCAACCATGTCCATGTTATGGCAATGTATTAATGATTTAGCATGATGATAAAATATAAGGATAAGGACCTGCAAAAATCCTTTAAGAATACAAAAATACTACAATGGGACTTAAAAAAAGGAGCATGGGTGAAAACTAAAATGAAATGTGGCTTGGAAAATGCAACCTAGTATATCTAGCAGTAAAGAATGTAAACCACATGTAATGCCCAACCATCTGGTATCTCAATCATCAGTGTAAAACTGTAGATAATATATTCCTAAGTACACAAAGAAAAAACCCACTTAATTATTCCATAACTGAAATACTGAATAAAACAATCAAGTAGCACAAAACTGAAGTATTTATGTTCCATACAAGTATAATTGTTTTCACAACAGGTGTGGAAAGTTTACATTACCGTTACACTTTCTAAAAAATAGTTGTTTAAATTAAACTTTTACTAGAAACTATGTTTTTTATTCCTATCCCATTTTGGCAAGTTAATTTTCTTTAAATAGAAAGGTAAAAATAAATTACATAAACAACGCACTACTGAATCTCTTTCATCAGGCAGAAATCACATTATACTTACTTTGGAAATGCAAGCTTCCCATAAACTTTCAAGTCAGCTGAACAGTTCTCTTGCGTGCAAAATCTTGCAAAAACAATCTGTGGAAACAAATATACAGATTCAAAGTACTTCTAAGCCATCCATTACTGTGGGCGCGCATGTATACATGCACTTCAACATGCAGTAGACTATTTTACTGTGCATTACAGTGTCACGTAAAAACCATGGCAGTATGCTAATACATAGCAAAAGAGTCTACTGCACATTAAGCATAATTTAAAAACCATGTAAATGTGCTACTATGCATTAGGGCAGCCTAATGCACATTGATTTAGTACTGCACATTACACAAACTAAATTTAATGCACATTAGAAAAGATGCACTAATGCATATGTAGATGTGCCCTGTGTAACCAGAAACCATGAACAACCTCTTTCTGATATAGCAGTGGGATAAAGTGGTGATTTGTCATTTCTCAGCCTATGTACAGGATACACAAAACAACTGAGAAGCATCCTTGGTCAGTGGCTATACGATCAGCCAGTTCTAAAAGGTACACATTAGATGACAAGCTTTATAGGGGTACCAGAACTGAAATTTCTGGGACAGTTCTGTCTTATGACAGGACACCAATAATATATACAGGATAGTTTGTCTAACCATTCCCTACATGATTACAATTTTAAGGCAATAGGACTATAATATTGTTTGTTTCAACACTTGTTCAGATTCTACAAAGTGGTTAACAATTTTATGTGAATTTGTCAAACCTGCTACTAGTGAGAAGGCAGAATAGTTTTATTTCAGTTTTCCAGTTACAAATCATTAGAGCATGCTGACTTTTGCTTCACAGCAACATAAAAGACCGCAGAGAAATTTGCTATCAAATCTTACTGCGGTGTATTTTTTCTCAGTTTCTGTGAATGAAAACTTGGAGTAGCTCCACAGAATAAATGTTCAACTAGCAGCTCATGGGCCACATGCACCCCCAAGTTCCTGATCTGTGTGCCACTCCTACTTCTGCTTTTCAGGTGCTGCTGCTAGAGTCCCTGAGCTCCCCCTTTAATGCCTGTCCCCACCCCTGGGAGCAGGGCAGCATGGGATGGTGTGGTTTGCAAGGCTGATGGATCCCATGGCTGTGGACCCCACACAATGCAGAGACATCACTATAGTGCAGCAGGAGTCACCCACCAACTGGTCCATGTGAGATGGGAGGAATGTGTGGCATACAGCCAGTGGGTCTGTGACCCCCCAGACATTCCGAATTTGGACAGTCCTGGAATAAATATTTAGAATCACAGAAAATTAGGGTTGGAAGGGACCTCAGGAGGTCATCTAGTCCAACACCCTGCTCAAAGAAGGACCATCCCCAACTAGATTATCCCAGCCAAGCCTTTGTCTACCCAGGTCTTAAAAGCCTCTAAGGATGGAGATTCCACAACGTTCATGGGTAACCTGTTCCAGTGCTTTACTACCCTCCTAGTGAGAACGTTTTTCCTAATATTTAACCTAAACTCCCCTTGCTGCAACTTGAGATCATTGCTCCTTGTTCTGTCATCTGCCACCACTGAGAACAGTCTAGCTCTATCCTCTTTGGAACCACCCCTCAGGTAGTTGAAGGTTGCTATTAAATCCCTCCTTAGTCTTCTCTTCTTCAAACTAAATAAGCCCAGTTCTCTCAGCCTCTCCTCATAAGTCATGTGTCCCAGCCTCCTAACCATTTTCATTACCCTCTGCTGGACTCTCTCCAATTTGTCTACATCATTTAAACACATCTAGATTTAAGTTTTTGAAACAAGGCAGTATTTAGCCTAAACCCAGCAGCTTACTTTAATAAAATCAAGGCATTTTATGTCACTACCTTTGTGAGATGTAGGCACCAGTCCAGAAAATACTATCCCTGGTTATGATGCTGCCATGTGAGATTTCTAATGAGGATTAAATACTTAACTATTTAATACATGAACTAACCTTGCTTTTTATAATATCTCTGTCTTTTCTTCTCTGAAGAACTGGCTGAAGTGGTGGGAAGTCCTCCACACTTCTCATACTTCTTTTCTTTAGAACATGATGTCCAAGATGATAAGCTGCTTCTACATGTATAGGAGTCAGGATATCCCTTACATCTTTCTATGAAAATTGGAAACCTAGTAAGTTAACCATATAAAACATACATTTATATAATAAAACACAGTAAAACTTTACATTAAAACTAACACATTTATTTTCATATAATCACTTCTGAAACCATGGAAACAATACCTTTTCCTATCTTTTTAAAATATACTTTATTTTCTCTCTTTCTCCAGTGGCGTGTGGGTTTGCTAATTTTCAGTAATACTGATGACAGCAGTGATGTCATAAAGTGAAGTGTTTACTTCCTTAAATACCAACCAAATAATTTAAATATATTTATTTTGCTACCAAATCTATATTGGTTTCTTTAAATTCTTTATGGTTGCAATGTATTAATATGATATTTTACAAAGAAGGGTAGGTGAAAGAGAGGAAACAGACTTTGAGACAATCCCAGATGAAGAGCAGATCAGATATTTTTGTGAAGCCAAGCAAGTTTTCCCATTACTACTAAAAAGAATTATGGTTCTTCTTTTCCTCTCCTGCCTTTATATTTTGTACTTCATATTAAGGTGATTAAACTCCTCAGTAAACAATAATTTCAACATGAATCCTTGACTGTGTAGGAATGCTGCAAGTCAGAACCCAAATCCCAAGTTATCTACTTGTGAAAACTGAACAGCTTGAAGTACTGAGTATTACAATAGCAAACTTGATTAAATTATTCCCTAAGTGTATGAGATAGACAGTCACTGATTGTCCCTCCACATGTCCACTGCTTTAATTCTTATCTACAAGCTTGCTTTGACCAAATCACGTTACCTAATTCATAATAATTTTCTACAAGGTCTTCACTGCATCTGCTGTATATTACTTTCATTACACTAATTAACTATTAATTATTCTTTACTCAAAATATATAAAATGTACATGCTCTCTTGCAAGGATTGTACTTGACAGACATTCACACTTATTTAACTTTAACAGCTTCATATAAGAACAGAAACCTCAGTGGGGGAGGGAAAGCTTGTGATATCACTAATTAAGAATTTAGAAGGAAAAGCAGCTAAATGCAGGGGAAAAATAAATAGTTATGGAGTGTAGAAAGCAATGTACTAAATCACTCTCTCTACATTTATACTTGCTGGGATTAGGAAGTGGCCTTGGAACCTCTACAAAGCCAAGTCTTGTCATTTCAGTCAAATCTGTCTTTGTGAGGGTCCCGGGTGCCCATAAGCTGGAGATACTACCTGGGTATGGTATGGCTGTCCCAGCAGGCAGGAGTCCCTGTGGGTGCTAGGAGGGAGGAGGGAGAGGGACCACCTGGTTATACGCAGCCTGCCCTTGCAGCACCTGATAGCAGCCCTGATGCTGTGCTTGCTCCTATTTAAGCCCTGCCAATTCCACCGAACAACTTTGCCCCGTTCCACTCCCCCAGATAACTGCTAGTTATCTCCCTGCCATAGCAGCTGTGGGATGCTGCCACCTAGAACCACCCCACCACCTGGGCAGCCCCTGCCAGAACGACTCCCCCGACAGTGGGTAGCACCAAGTGGGGACCCCACCAGACCTTGCCATCCTGTGCTGCTGATGTTAGCATCGCTGCCTGCTCACTCCCACACATTTACCATGTGGAGTCTACTGTGCCAATGGGCTTCAGTCCTGGCTGGTGCTGGAACTTACCACCATCCTGCATATCACCCTTGGCACCAACAACTTGTGCTGCCCTGCTCCTCTGCCGCAGACTATTTAACTAATATAGTTCAAGTAAGTTAAACAGGTAATTTTTTAGATGAGATTCACATCCCTACTCAGAATCACCACACTCAACAGTATATGCCTCAGCAGAATATTGTGCTCCTGTATGGTCTAGAAGCTGTTACACTAAAAAGCTCAACACTACTTAACAGTGCAATAAGACTCATAACAGGCTACAAAACTCGCACACAGACAGATGTACTCCCTGTATTCTCATACATTAGACGAAGTGATATAAGAAGACAGACCCTAACATCAACACTGGCAACAGAGGCAAGAGAGGACAACAATCTCCTGCTCCATCAACTGTTAACTGAAGACCTGAATAGATGGAGGCTTAAAAGATGTAAACTATTTATACATGAGCCCACAAGCTCTTGGAAGAGCCTGGGGGTGCTGAACAGTGGCAGATGCACGGGGTACATGTGTACCCCTGACAGCCAACATTCCCCACTTAGGCAACGGGCAGGTGGGGCAGGTAAGAGTGCTAGTGCCCCCCCGAGAGCGCTGGCTGGGGAGTGGGGACACCAGGAGAAGCAATCACTGCAGTCCTCCCCACAGCTAATCACACCAACTGGGGAGAAGGTTCCCCCATGGCCAACTGCACCATCCCGGAAGTGCCAGCGGTGCACCCGGAAATGCCAGGTTGATGCAATTGGCTGCAGGGGAACCCCCCACCCTGATTGGCATGATCCACCACCAGGCCCCTCCCCCAAGTCGCTGACTGGCCGCTGGGGAGGGCAAGTACTCTTCCCCCCTCCCAACTCAGAAGGCACCATGGTGTTGAATAAAACCTATGGGCAACAATGGAGTCGGCCAACTTCTGGGAAAGATCACGCCTATTCCTATAGTATTTTATACCAACACCAAACAAGCCCTTCACTGGGCATGACCCTGACAGAAAAGTGGGTTAAGCTGAACAGACTGAGATCTGAATACAGACGCTTCAAAACAACACTTTACAAAATTAACATCTTGGACAGCCCCGTGTGAATGTGGTGTCCAACAAACAGCACAGCATTTCATTGAAATCTACAATCTTTACCAATGCCCACACAGGGCAGATTAAATCCACACATTAAGCGATAACAACAGATAGTGGCTCAGATTTGGAAGTTTATATCTGATGCTATACAAAAAAAAGAAGTTCTATGGACCAAGGGCCAGATTCTGTTCCACCTATTAGGCATACAAATGGGGATTTATGTACCGAAGTGTAATTCTATTCCACTCTAATATCATGAAAATCCATTAATGCCTCTAACTTTGTGGCAATACCATCTTACTATTAAGACACAAAACAAGAAGTGAGGAAGAGGAGGACCTACTCACCTTTTCCATTAACTTTTCTACGTGTCTAATGGGAAGTGGTGCTCACTCCTACCCTGGGGGTCTTCAAAAGGAGGCTGGATAATCACCTAGCCGGGGTCGTTTGACCCCAGCATTCACTCCTGCCCATGGCAGGGGGTCGGACTTGATGATCTACTTAAGTCTCTTCCGACCCTACCAACTATTAAACTATGAACAGAACCTGGTTCCAAATGCTGCTACACACAATGCTCTTGTAATAATTTCTCATTTGCCACAGAAAATTGAACAAAATTGACTTCCACTTACCATCTCTCGCTTCCATATCATAGGGTAAAAAATTACCAAAAATATGACCCTACCCATGGGTCACACATTTTTAGTGGTATCCAAATTTCAGCATAGTTGACAACAGTCAAAAAAGTTGTGTAAAAAAAGTAAAAAACCCCATAATTTACATTCAAGGAAACACATTTTAATTTTCAATTTCTGTGAATAAATTCTAAACAAAATATTTAAATCCTGATTTAAATTAGGTAGGTGCTCTTTCGAAGTCTGGTAATATTATATTAAATTGATACTGGATACGTTACCCTCATAAATGCTGGATGAAGTTTGCAGGTAACATTGTTGCTGTAAACCTCTGCACTTCCAGAGGTCGTAGCCGATGTTCCATTAGAAAAGTAAAACCTTGCCTGAGTGTCTGCCTTTCTTGTCACATCCACACTTAGATTATAAAACAATACTGAAAGATTAAAAAGAACAAAAGATGTTTTGTAAAAACCCTTTTTGAAACATTTTTACTTTCCCTAGTTTGATAGAGTTATATACTTTATCACTTACGTCAAGTATATTCCACAACGTTTCCCTCACACTGCCTTACTTGCAAAATGAGTTTTCAAAACTTTGGAATATAACAAAGCGGCAAGGATAAAAGGAAAAACCTGCTCACTGTTTCTCTGAGAATACTTGTGCTTTAAGCAGGGTTACCATGTGTCCAGGTTTTCCCAGACATGTCCACTTTTTTGGCCCCTGTGCTGCATCTGGGCGGGTTTTTAAAATAAGAGCAAATGTCTGGGTTTTCTGCTCTCCTGGGCTGGCTGCTTGGGGCTGGGAGCAGTGAGCAAGCTAATTGGCTGTCAAGGATCATGTGCTCCCCATGTGGGCTCCAGGAAGCCAGCAAGAGGGAAAAGGAGAGAGCACGAGTGTGAGGACTGCTTGGGCAGCAGGGTTGGGGGGAGGTAGGTGTCTACAGGTCGGGACTGAGGGGCACTAGCAGGGCTGCAGGTCAGGAGTGAGGGGTACTGGCAAGGCTGGAGCAAGGGGCACAGGGGACAGGGTAGGTGACTGTGGGTTAGGTGTGCAGGGCACTGGCAGTGCCAGGGTACTGCTGTTTGCGAATGAGGGGCAATGGCAGGGCTGAGGTCAGTGGATCCAGATTTAGCAATCCAAAATTTTACCTCCGCCTCGATCACATTGGTACTTCAAGTATTTTAAGACAACTAGTTCTGCTATATCATTTAACTTATCTTGTCCAAATTAGGATTTACTAAGTTATTCAGTACTCCAAAGAAGTGTGATGGGTGAGTAGCCATAGGTAATTATAAGGGATCCTGGTTTTCTCTGATTTAAAAAAAATCCACAATTTTCAGTTAAAAAAAAAAAAAGTAAGCCCAAATCCACATTTTCCCCATGAATAAAATAAACACCACTAGATATAGAACTATATATTAGTGGTGTTTCATTTAAATCACAGAAATATGTGGATTTGGGGTTACTTTTTATTAACTGAAAATAGAAGATTTTTTTCAAATCAGAAAAAAAAACAGGATTCCTGGTAATTATACATCAGGAAAAGTTTGTATTGGCATTAAAGTTCAGAAGACTTTCTACTTTGCCAAATAATTTAATTTTCCCAAATACACTCAAGTGCTTTGAACAAAGGAATAAAACAAAATTTAAACATTTTAGAACACCCTGTGTTGAAGATAGGATGTTCTCATTCCTTTAGCCTTTTGTTCCCCTGCATGTGACTAGTTAAAAACTCGACAGTAATGTGTTAGAGAGCACCTTGGCCAATTCTTTAACATTCTCTGGTTCACACTGGATGTATCCACATGTGACATTGAAGTGACATGATAAACTCTGGCACAGTTTGTGCCTGAGTCAGCTGCTCCCAAGCACAGATGCTACGCCTGGGACTGCAGCAGTCTGAGCCAAGGTGGAACAGCACTGGGCTGGTAGGTGCCCAGGAGGTAAGCCCCAGGCTCTGGGTGGAAGCATCAAGTGGCAGAGAGGCTGGCTGGGGCACAAGGGTGCCAAAGTGCCTGCACTTTGAAGGCAGCCCCCCTGCACTTCAGCACCCTCATCACTGTCTACATGTGTGTTTCAGTGCACATAATTGCTCTGCCAGGGGATAGGTTCTATACCCAATGCTACTATCCTATGGTAGAGTTAATTAATTTACTACACCCTAAAACCAACACACGTATAGATGGTGATGCTTTACTGTGGAGCTAATCAGTCAACTCTACAGTCAAGTGCATGTGTTGATGCACCTACTGTCTAGTTCCTAGAGCTTAGATGCTTAACACTTGCTTTTAAAATCCTCCTAATTTCCTGATACAGCAAAAGGTATTTTATCATCATGGTAAGATATGAACACATACTTTCACAGGTTTCCAAATGCAGAACATAATAAAAACCTCTTACCATTCATGTGAAATATTATTCCATGCTAAAAATGTATTTACTCTTTATAGAGGAATTCTCATTTATCTTAGTCCAAGTTTGCAAGAGGTCTTTTTTCTATTTCTACTGATACCCCTTTCATACTATCCAGAGAAATAGCTGTGTTAAAGCTTTGAAGGTTAAATACGTTGTTAGGCATTTTACCTAAATTATCAGTAAGTTAATTACTGTTTAGTTTGCATATAATAAAATATTATTTGTGAATGATAAAGTATTCTGCAGCACTAGAACAGATACAGGCATGCAATCAACATTTTGGAAAATATATTGAAATATGTAACAAATACCTTACCAATATAGCCAGGTACCTCCCGTCCTTTATATGTAAAACAGACCGTCAAATTCATACACACGGCAGGTTGGCCATTTTCCACACACTCTAAATTAGTTTGATTTACTGAATCAGGGTGTTTTAAAGATGCTTCAACAATTACAACTGGTTTTGTTCTAAGAATACAGAAGAATGTGCAGTTACTAAATGCTTTAGCTTTCATGTATTGATGTATTAATACTTCAATATTTCATCATACATGAGTTATCATTTGTGAATATAATTTAAAGTAGCCTCTGAATTTTATGCAATAAAAATGAAAGTGGGGATTTATGAAGCAAATTTCAGTGTTTTACTGCTTCAAGAAGTTTCAGAATGATACTTACCATTTGCTCTACCTTATATATATCAGTGTAATATAAAATTCTAGAGCTGAGTAACCAAAGTTCAAAATACCATAAAGATCACTGTGAGGTCACTAGCACATTGTGGAATTTTTTAATTGCTCTCATAATTTACAATTAAATCCAATTGTTTTTAAGCACTGAAATGTATCAGCCTCACCTCAGCAGCACTGCAGAATCAGAGAGAAAGGCACCAACTGCTACATCTGTACAAAAACAGAGATTGATGAGTATCATTAGTCAATGGGAATCACTCCACAAGCAGAACATCTTCCTGAAAATTCACCCTTTTTACTGTAATAAAACCATTTTTGTACATTATTAAGTAAAAAGGATATACCAAGATTAAAAGGTATACCTGTCACTGATATTTCTGTACATACTTTTTAACTATCTGATTTCTATCTATTAACACTTCAATGTTGATGTACAGGCAAGTCCTCGAACTTATGACACAACTGATTCCTGAAAACGGCGTCTTAAGTCGAAACATTGCAACTTGGAACTGATTTCCCCATAAGAAACAATGTTATAAACGGGGGATTGGTTCCTGAACCAAGGCCCGATACCCTGTTTTCACCAAAAATAACCCAATTTTTTACTCAATCATTTATAGATGAGTAATATAGCTACATTAATGTATTTATATTGTAAATAGTAATCATATTGATTTGGATGGACTTCTTTAAGGTGACTCTGCTGGACTTTTTGAAGGGCTCTTGGCTGGATTCTTCTCAGGAGTCTTGTTTGCTTTCGTAAAGAAAGTGTCCAAGGAAGTTTGGACAGATGTTCTCCAGGGAGATGGGTGACACAGTGACTTGTTTGCTGGCATGGTGTCACACACTCCTGAGCCCTAGGGATCATGGCAGCTGTGATTCCCAGGGTCTGGGGATTTCAGGCACTTCCAAGCCCTAGAATTGTGGCATCTGCAATTCCTAGGACTCCAAGGTGTGGGGAACCCCTGGGGCTACAGGACTGCTGCAGGGGCAATCCTCTGGCCCCACAAGTTTTTCTGAACCCCCAGGGGTAGGGGAAATTACAACAGTGGAGATCCTCTAGCGCAAGGGATGCATGGGGCAACCTTGAGCAATCAACTGAGGAGGGCTCCCAGCTGCAGGAGCTTGCTTATAGGTGCCGCGCGGGGGACCCTGGATTGGGCTCCCACTGTGCCAACAATAAGGTGCAATGGGATCTAATGCATGATCCTACAATCGTGCCTCCTTCCATGCATGTGTGACATGGCAGGAGGCATGATTGTCTGAATTGAGCATTAGATGCCATCACACCTTTACCTGCATGTGTAAAGGGAGCCTAAATGACTAAAGACCAGAAGTCTGAAAAGTTAAAAGAGGCACTGTTACCAGAAATCTGCAGGGGTACTCTTTCTGAATGAAGCAAAGGGCACCAAAACACTAGAGTTTAAGACTTAAATATTTGCTTAAATAATTTATCTGACTCTTGCTATGTTTCTTTCTAGCCACATAATTTTGCTTTATGCAGTAAAACTTGTAGTTGGGATCCTCTAGTCTCTTGGGAGCAGTCCTTGATGACTCTTTTGCAAACCATGGCATGGACCTGTGGCTGGACCAGAAGAAGTAGATTTGAATTTGGGCTATAACACAAAGTGCTGAAGAGACTGTTGTGTCTGAAGACAGGCTCCCAGAATTGCTGAAATTCATAGGAGGCAATAAATCCTATGCTGGACTTTTCCCTTTAGTCCTTTTGTACATGTAGTTTACTACCTCTGCCAGAACTATTGGGACAAATATCCCATTTCATGAATCAATTGTGTCTCCTTCACTCAGTCATTCAATAATTTCATAATTCACGATGCTAAACAATTTCTATATGAGAAACATTAGACTGCAACATAACTAGATGAACTGGTTGCCATTAAGAAGTCAGTGTCCGCAAACAGATATTAGTTAATTCTTTTATACTTTACTGCAAACTTAGTTTTAAGCCTTTCTGAGCTCTTCAACAGGATATTACTCTATCGCAGAAAAGCTGCTGTCTTGCAGTCTTAACCTCTTTGCTTTTTTCTTATCAAAATGTAATGTGACAAGCTGTCATAATAACAGATTTTGCTCCTCAAATTTTGCTAAGCATACTGAGTATTATGGATTGTTTGTTCTCACTAGTGACATTTCATTTCATTTCTACTCCTTTAAACACAAAGAGTAGTCAAAATTGTTAAACTTACCTTGATAACCATTGTTATCAGCATCAATACCACTTGATATGGAATGTCCAAACATGCTTAAAGTGTTGCTGATTCTGTGTCCTTGTATTCTCTGAAAAATAAAGACTTGACCTAAATAATTTCACTTGGGAATGTGGTAACCAATGAGAAACTTTAGCTCAACCATACTGTATGCTAACCAAAAACTTTCTTGTTTTTGGTTAACTTATCTTCAAATTCAGGATTAGCTCTGTTTTTGTAAATAATATATCACATAAATCCAACTTAATTCACATAATGAATTTCTAATCTTTCTTCTATATTGAAATGAACATAAATATCTGCATTGCAACAACACAGTAATTTTAAATAGACTGTGGTCCTTTAAATGAGGGACCTAAATTCCATTTTTTTGGGAGAAGTCACTAAGGAGATGATACCAAACAGACATACATCCCAACCTTGTTTATTTAACACTCTTGACAATTTGACTTTTATTGCTCTATGGAAGTGCTAGGAAAAACAACCTCCTGAAACACATAACTCTGGAGAAATGTGTACAAAAAACCCTTGTGGTTAGGCTAAAAAAAAATGAAAAAAGACACTCATATACCATAACAAACCACAAACATTCTGATACTCAAATGTTTTCAAACATATTTAGTTACCCTTTAGGCAAGAAAATAAAAGCACTACAGAATTACAGTAATCATTTTTTCTTTACTGGATTTTTTTAAAAGACTGGCAGAAAAGTGGTACCTGTGAGAAGGATGCAGTTATCCCATCTTTTCTGCCATTGTATATGTAAATAGCTCCTTCCTGGTTGTCTTCCAGTGGAGCCCCAATAGCCACATCTGCAGAAATATTTCGGGAGATGATAAAATTATTCTCCTTGGCAAGTCAGGGTTAAACATGATTAAGAAATGCAGCTTACAGATATTTTAATATATGAGAAGTAATATGCAACCAAGATACAGTTTTATAGTTTTCTCATTTTGAACTTGTTTATATTTCTCACTTTAGAGACTTACTGAACATATGTTTGTTTATATTTAATGCTCCATTTACAATGTTACCAACATGACTTGCTGGAAAGAAAAGATAAACTACAATGGTTCTGATTTTTATAGTCCTCTCAACAAGAGCTTCTCCTAAATTATTAAAGATCTTATAACAAACACAAATGCATTTATAGCTGTAGTTTATGTGCAAGAAATGCAATTGTGCTTCACTCTTTTAGTCAGATTTACTGTAATAGATTTCTCCAGAAAGCCTCAATGGGGCTCTGCTGCTTAGCCTGAAGTGATACAAACCCACATCTTCCACTTTCCAGGCGAAAAGCCTAACTATCTAACTACAAGTAAAGACGCAGTCATGCTTTGTGCTGGAGCCATGAATCCTGAACTGCTTTTCTACACTGGTGTTTCTTAACTAGTGTGCCGTGGCACAAAAGTGTGCCATCAGAAATAAACAGGTGTGCTGCAGAATTTTGCCATGGCAATGAACTACAGTAGGGATGAGGATGGGGAATGCCTTAATAGGTGTGCCCCGGAAAATTTTTATTAATGTAAGAGTGCCTTGGGTTGGAAAAGATTGGGAAACACTGTTCTACACCATAGTCCACCTCAAAGGTTGGCCCTCAAATCCAGCTTGGCTGGTAACTGAACACCTTACGCTGATAACACTTTGAACCCATGGATTACTCATCCATGCAAACATTTACACCATCACTCCTTCTTGTTGCATTTTAAAAGAAAGCAGATAGTCTTGCTCAGGTCTTTGGAAATAAAAAGAGGAACATCCCCTACAGTATTCTAGGCTCTGAAAACTAAGTGAAGAAGGCTTTTCTTTCTTCCAGACACAACCCTGTGCTTAGAATTTCCTATTGGTTAGATCAGTGACTCTCAATCTTTTTAGACTCAAGGCATCCCTCCATAATTTTTGTGAATTATGGGAATGGAAGGAAGAGAAGTGGATGAAAGGGAAGAGCCTGCACTCATCTCCTCATTGAAACCTGAACTTATCTTGCCTATCCTGGTGGCCATTTTCAAAGGTTGCCAAAGCACCCCAAAGTGCCATGACACCCCAGCTGAGAGTCACTGGGCTAAATATTAGAATCCCTGCTTGGTGCAAAGTCTTTCTGGATCACCAAACTCTTCTGCACTCAAGGCAGACAGAGCCAACTCATCTAACAAAGGCTAAGCAACTACATACTCTGAAACCTAACACCTAACTTGTAATGCCAAATATGTTTTTTAATTTAGTCTATAGATGACGGTTTCACGTAGGCAGATGGTAATGACTTTGAAACTAGAATTCATACATACATTCACATGGATGGCCTAAAAATGAAAAGCCAAGATTATACTTTAAGAATCATCATACTCCTATTTATTGTTACTTTCCACTGCTTTCAGTTATAAATGCTCATTAATACCTTCAAAACCATCATTATCAATGTCTCCTAGATTGGCTATGGATTCTCCAAACCTTGCTGCATATGAGTCGCTTCCAGCTAGTTCTAGCTCCAGTTCTTTCATCTCAGCTTTCTGAAAGACAACAAAAAAAAATGTATATTAACTAAAGGATTTCCAGATGAACCGCAATCCTGATATATGTTAATACAATATTGTTCTTAATTGCCTTTACTAACTAAAGTATGTCAGATTGACCTTTCAGTGTATAAATAATCCTTATTAAAGACATCCACTGGGAATTTATATTAGAGGGTGTGCTACCTTGAAGCAGATACATTCTATATGGATCATACATCCTTTAATACAGAATACATAAATCACGTAAGCAAGGAAGCTTGAAGTTTGGCTTTACTCTGTGCAAGTAAGTGTGTAAAAATAGCCTAATCATTGTGTGGTTTCAGAATCACAAATGGTTATTTCAGTGAATGAGTTTTCCATACACCCTAAGCTTTACAGAATAAACACAGTTCAAAGAGGGGAAACTGGAGTCTTTTCTTCTGTTGCAATCCCTTCTGAAAACATCCAGCTGTTGAACACTGCTTGACTTACTATATACCAGGACAAGTTCTAGACTGCAGGCTGGCAGCTAGAAAAATATTTCTACTTATACCTTGAGCACACCGGTTAAAAAAGTCAGTGAAGATAATAAAAAGGGAATCCTACAATATCGTTATAGAATTACAAGCAAATCAATGGTGGACTGCATGCAAAGAGACTGCAACTGGATAATGCATATATCACTAATTATTATAAAACAGTGCTGCTTTTCCCTCTATTCTAACATCAAATATAAGATAAGGGTTTTTCCCCCCAATCACCATAGGGAAAAAGTCCCTTATCTTATCTTTGCTTACAAAGAAGCCTCATTAAACACAATTTCTATCATTACGCTCCTGTCAAAAGCTGCTTGTGCTCAGTAATTGAAACCAACTATGAATCTATTAAATGCAGCCAACATTGAGCATAACTATAAAACACATAGCCTATATATTGGGCAAACTTACTGCTGGGAACCTACCATAAGGATAAGCTAGTGTAGCCCATCCAAATAAGATATATAGTAGTGCCCATTGTGCACAGACCCCCTCAGCATCACCTTTTTTTTAAAATCATGGTGAGCCACTACACTGAATACATTTCAACTTCCTCTTCACTTCCACAGCTGAGCTGCACCTTTCTTTCCTATTTCCAATGATTCCTGTTTCTTTACCAGCCTTAAAGGTATGGTAAACATCACCACAGAGCTCCAAACAGGTCACCCAGAATCCCACTGTCACCCCCTCTCTCAGCCTGTTGTGTACGATAAGTGTGGTCCTGCCCTCCATTCCTGGAGCTGGACCAGGTTGCTCTGTGCCTCATCTGCATATAAAATTTTGAACGATCCCAGGACTCCTGATAACACTCAGTTCCAGTCATGAATGATGGGCTAATTAGCACATACTCTCACAAAGGATCTACCTGGAATACACATACACACACATACTAAGCAGCAGCAGGCTGTGGGAACACCATGGCTTAAAATGCTGTAGACTCTGCTGGGGTGTAACCCAATGAACTATACAGTAAATCACGAGCCTGTTGGCTTTGGACCAATACCATGCAAAGTCTTTACTCTACTTAAATAGGTACAAAAGTGCTGCTTAAAAGTGTGTTTATGGAGTACCTGTGCTAAAACTTGTAACTATTTCCAAAAAAAAGTAAACTGAATCAATTCTGAATGAACTTCCTGTAAGTGAATTACTACAGGTCCATTTATGTCAAGGTCAGGGTTTTCAAATTTGTCCCTCACTTCCACATGCTCAGGAAGAGCAGGGTCTGACAGTAAGGAATGGGGGAAAGGGCTGCAGGGGCAAGAAGCTTAAGGGGCAAGGGGGAGGAAGATGGCAATGGAGCTACTTGACCCCCAGATTTATTTTCCCTGCTGTGGCCATGTGAGGGGGGCAAATTCAAGGCAACCCTCCAATAATTAGATTCTATCCCTGGAAAATTTTAATAAATTTATAAATTATCTATATAGAGAATCTAGTTATTGGATGGGACATTTTATATTTGAGTATATACAGTCTTTTGTTCTGAAGAGTAGTTTTAATACAGATATAGCTGCACGTACACACACCCAAATCATGTTGCTGTTGTTTTTCTACATATTTATTAGTATTAGCATAAAATAGGCTTCTAATTATTAAAAAGTAGTTAAACCACTTGTTTTAATGCCTCTGTGCTGGGCATATTATAATTATTGTCCAAACTGATCATGTCAAGAGTCCTATGTGATAAAGTAGAAAACTCTTTAGATTGTTGAATTAATATTATTTCAAATACTAAATTTTAAATTTAAAAGCGATACTTACAGACCCCGAATTGATGTAAACATAAACCCTGCCTTCTTCTCGGACTTTGCTTTGCATTGGAGCGCCAACCAGTAAGTCTGAAAAGCCGTCTGCATTGAGATCCACCGCACAAACAGCAGCTCCAAAATAAGCACCAAGCTGTGCACATACACAAGAAGTCCATAACCTTCAGTTCCTTCAGAAAATGCACTGGAAGTCACAACATGTACCTAATTAATATGAAAGGTTACCTTTTTACCCTTTAATTCGGACAGGATTTTTAATTGCGTCGCTTCAATGCTAAAAATATATGCCTAAAATAAAAAGAACAGATAGGGAATTCAATACTTTCACAAACTGCATGAAATAGGAAATATGCTGTGGCAGAAAGAAAACACCACATGTCAAGGTCCCTTTAAATAGGGTTTTCCACTACCATATTTTCTACCAGGTCCATTCTTAGTACCACTTTTCCAGTTTCATATGGCCTACTCTGCTCTATTCCTTTCCATTCCTTCTCACCAACAATGTTCTCTTGAACTAGAGCAATACTCCTTAGCTTCCTCCAACTGCAATACTTATTTCTATTGCACTGATCCAATTAAGAGAATCACATACAGTAGAATGCATAGTACCCAGTAAAAAATAGCTCTTACCTTACCCGTCTGCTCCTGTTGGGGAGCTCCTCCAACTACTTCTATACTAGTTGGTGTTAGAAAATGGCCAGCTCCAACAGCATATCCTGTAAATAAAAATATACTAATTGTATACATACACGGTAACTATGATTTTAGGGGAATAAATATATTCATAATATTATTGCAGTGACCATATAACAGTGGGTACATAAAATAAGAACTATGATCTGTTGCTTTTAATACTGTATCTTCTTTTCATACAACACACAACTCAATAAGATGAGTTCTGAAGGAATGAAGTATGATTTTACGAAGGTTAATGGAAATTTGGCATAGAAATGTTATGTTTCATAAAATGAAGTCAACAGAAGCAAGAAGCACCAATATGAATTCTAGCAATCAGGAGTAAATAGTTTAAGAATAGCCATCTGATGAAAGAGTCCCATTTTTAACTATTGGCTTTTTGGTAAAAAATACATTCACTTAAAAATGGAAACACATGTCTTTTACTTAGCCACACTCATTCCATTATCCCATCTGAATGTCCATCAGGTAAGAAAAAACTGACCTAGTTCAATGTTCATGTAAGAGAATGCAAAAATTGAATTCAAACACTATCCAAATTGTTTTTCATTTTAAATGTGCTTGATCGTTATTCATCTATAATACCTGGGCTGCATTTTTTTAAAAGTCTCATCTACGAACAACCTAAATCTCAAATACAATAAGCCAATAAAACAAAAATTGATAAGAAAATACTACTGCCCCAATTTTGGCCCCCTAGTTCCCTACACAATTGAATCCATGTGGGTAGTCCTCTGTGTCTGTGTAGGGCCCTCTTAACTAATGGAATCACCGCTGGTATAAAGGACTTCTGAGAGGTGCATTGGGAGGACAGAAGCTTATTTTTTAGCCATGCAGACTTAGCTGTTTGTATGCCTTTCAAAGTTCAGTATGGGACACAAGCTTGGGAGGGTAACGTTGTATTTTATGCTTTAAAGTTGCACCTGTTTATAGAGTGGTGAATTATAGTATTGTTTATATTTAACCTTATTTAATAATTGCTTAAGTTTTGTATAGCCTCATTAACTTTTTATTTTGATTATTAGCTGACCCTGACTTGTTTCTGTAGAGCTCATAGTGCTCATGATATTATATCTTTTCATTTGAAATTGAAGAAACGCATAAAAGGGGAAAGCAAGAAAGTTAGGTGTCATTGTTATAAATAAGCCTTCAACACCTGTCTGGACCATTCCAGCCTGACAAACCCTTTGCTTTCAGGAACTGAGCGGCTGTCTTTTCTGTTGAACAAAGTAACATCTGGGATTGGGTGAGATTATTGTACTGAATGCGCTTCTCTCTCTGAATACAGAAACTGCTAAAATAGTATTTGTTGTACTAATAAAGTTAGACTTTGATTTTAGGACACTGTGCTGTCTGTGTTCGTATTTCACATTTTATTTAATGATTAATTGTGCTTTAACAATCCCTTAGCACTATCTGTGAGCAGTGGTGCAAACAAGCTGACCGCTCTAAGATAGAGGAAGAAATGTGTTACCTCCTCTTACATCTACTAAATTATAATCAATGGAGCCAAATGAACTAGGATTACAGAATAGGGTTGTGCCTTAAATCTTACACTTGCCAAAATGACCATGTGGAACTCAAGTGGAACCCATATGCCAGCATTTTCTTTGAATATTTTATGCTATACGGGGTGAAACAAGATAATTTATCATTTAAAGGTCAACATCTAGTTTTTCCTTATTCAACAAAAAAAACCCAAAAAAAACAACAACAACAACAAAATCAGACTTAAGTGGATGTACCTTAATTTTTCTGCTCTGACCTTTACTTTTTGTTTTTTTTCAACTGTAAACATTCATATTTCTAATGAACTTGCTTTAAAAAAATGCCATGGTAAACACAGTTCCCAGGTTTCTGCTGTTATAAAGATTAGCGATCATAGAACATATGAAAAATATGTAAACTTTGTGCCTTTATTATTCACACTGCTTTTATCTACACAAGTTCAAAGGATGGGATAAAAGTTTATCTTCTTTCTATACTGGGTGCAACTGGCTAGGGACATAAAAGGCAATAAAAAGAGATTCTACACATATGTCGACAGTAGGAGGAGGACAAGAGAAACAGTAGGTCTTTTATGGAATGTGGAAGACAACCTGGTTACAGATAATGCACAGATGGCTTTTTACTTCAGTCTTCACAAATACGGGCAGCTACGAGATGACTAGTGCAGTTGGCAACAAAGATAGAGAAGGAGACAAACAGCCTAGAGCAACAGTAGAAAGGTTAGGGATTACTTAGAGAAGCTACATGCTTTCTAGTTGTCAGTGCAAGATGGGCAGGCCTGTCCCTGTGTGGGGCAGATCTGGGCAACCGCTCTGGGCCCTGTGCTTTGGTGGGCCCCATGGTCAATGCCGCACAGGCCCCGCCGCAGCTGCCACGTGCCACCACTGCCGAGTGCCTGCTGCTATCTCTGGCCACTCACCACCCCACCCTCTCCCTCGGGCCCTGCTTAGGCCGATATGCCCCAGGCCCTGCACACCCCTAGAGACTACTCTGAAGATGGGATGCACCCGGGGGTACTGTAGGAATTGGCTGAGGTAATTTCAGAGCCACTGGCTAAGAAGAGCATTCTTTGAGAACTCAAGGAGTTGGGTGAGGTCCCAGATGACTGAAAAAGGATAAATATAGGGCCCATTGTTAAGAAAGAGAAGAAGGATAATCTTGGTAACTACACTAAGGTCACCCTAACCTCAATAGCTGGAAATATCATGGAGCAGATCCCCAAGAAATCCATTATAAAGCACCTAGATCACGAACACCCAGCATCAATTTACCAAGAGAAAGGCATGCCTGACCAATCTGATTTCCTTCTAGGATAAGATAAAAAGTTCTGTGGAAGTGTAAAGAGCAATGTATGCGACACACTTCGACACTAGCAAGGCTTTTGACACTGACTCGCACAACATTCTCATTAACAATTTAGGGAAATATAAACTAAATGAAAGTACTGTAAGGTGGATACATAACTACATGGATCATTGGGCTCAATGAGTAGTCAGCAATGTCTCAAATGTCTAATTAGGAAGAGGTATCAAGTGGGGCTCTGCAGGGGTCTGTCCTGGGTTCCAGTATTAATATATTCATCAATTATTTGGATGATGGGATCAAGTATACACTTAGCAAATTTGTGAAGAACAAAAAGTTGGGTGGAATTGCAAATATGCCAGAGGACAAGGTTAGGATCCATAGTGACCTGAATAGGCTGGAGACTCACTTCAATTAATCAGATGAAAATCAACAAGGACAAGTGCAAAGTCCTGCACTTGGGATGGAATAGCCACATGCACAAATACAGACTCACTAGGCTCCAGTATTGCAGAGAAGGACTTTGGGGTTACAGTGAAATTTAAGCCATGAACAACTGGTGCCTCCTGTGATTGGGGAGGCACCATGGCAGCGAGCAGGGACCACCCACAGCTGCCACCTGGATTGAGATTCCATAATTTCTCTAAGTAGCCTGTTCCAATTTTCGACCACCCTCAAAGTCAGAAAATTCCTTCTAATCCCCAACCTAAATTTCTTCTCCTGCAGTTTGAGGACACTGCTCCTAGTCCTGTCCCCTATGGACACAAAGAAAAGCCCATCTCCATCTTCTATGCCTCAGAAAATGTTGGACAGACACTACTCAGGGATGGTTTAGTTGGGTCAATCCTGCCTTGAGGAAGGGCTGGACTAGATGTCCTCATGAGGTCCCTTCCAGCCCTGCTCTCTGTGATCCAACATGCAAGATTTTCACTCGGAGATCCATTGCTGCCTTCCAAAGTTTACCTGCCTCCAGCATCTCTGAAAGTTCATGTTTTGCATTCTCCTGCAGATAACAGTGCATTCAAAAGCAGAAACTGTGCTGCACTCTGTCTTTCAAATGGCTAGAATGGACAGATGCAAGGAAGCTAGAGAAGCAGAATTGGTCCAGCTGTCTATGAATGCTTTCACAAAGAGTCCCACAAGGATAAGCAGTTTTCTTAAAGCCCATCATAGGTCAGTTCCTAAAGTAGCTCAAGTCAGTGACATGATAAGAAGCCTTGAACAACCCCTCCCCGCCTTGGCAATCCTAGCATCAAACTCACATAGTAGGGCTATGCACTGTGAATGCTTGCAGGTGGACTTATATTCATGTGCTGAGATCCAGGCATGCTCTTCATTAGAAACAAACTGTAAGTCTCAATCTACTTCCCAGGACCATATTTAGTACTACTCCTTAGACTAGCTTCCATAACTGATCCTTTTTTTTATGAAACAACCTTGCATACTGTACAGAGTTTGCTTTTTCTAGTTGTGGCTGACACTTATAATCATTTTACAAAGCTTTACTGCCTATAAACATATGTGCAGTGGCAACGTATCTGTCCATTTTAAATCAAACAAGATAGAATATAAATGATTTCAAGCAATGATTAGAAACAGTCCATAAATAAAATGTTTAAAGAACTTCCAATGAGGAGACTAGAGAAAGCTTAAAACAAAAACAGTTCAAGACAGCTACCTTTAGGCTCATAGAATCACTAGACATGTCTGCAATATTGCCATTTCCAGGTTTGACAAAGAAAGGTGCTGCTTCAGAATGCATTTCAAACCTAATCGTACATAGCAGGGAATCAACTAAACAGATTTATAAAAATATTTTAAATACCTAAATAACTTCCAAATTTTACTTGATTATTTGAATCTGTGTAAGCTCGAAATGTATTTGCAGTTGAATTGTAAACAAAGATAGAACCAGTCCAGTAATATGATCCGGGAGCTCCCATTATAATTAAATCCTGTAAGACAATAAAAGTATAAATGTATCTATTATTTTGAATATAAGCATGATGTGTCAAATTCATTCCTAGTATAACTTCTCTGAAGTAAATGAAATTATATTAGAATTGTATCTGGCTTAGTATCAGTACATTAGATGCAGATCATATGTAATATTTTACATTTTTTAAATATTCTTATTCTTTTACTTCTAAGCAACTTAAGTTATGAAAACTTCAAGGCAGCAAACAGTATCTTTCATTTGTGGAAGAATATTTTAAAAATTACATTCCTACAGTATAATATAAAATGTATAAATTAGTTTCTCTCTCTAGCCTAAAAAGTAAGCCTGATAGGTGTTAATATTCTCAATAATAAAAATATGCTCTATTATAATTTTCATATACTTTACAAAACAGCAATTTTGAATATAAAGCACAGTGCCATGATACATTATGTTCTTGGAATACTGACAATTGACACAACTCATATTTTTTATAAGCATCATTCAAAAGGAATGACCGATGATGTGATAAACAAATCTAATTAGTTTTTCAGGAAAAAAAATGTAAGAGTCTACAATCATTTTACAAATGTAATTCAAGTTAAATTATTATTTAATTCTTAATAGGAAACAAAGATATTTAATACACACCTCAATGTAAAAACTAGACATCCCAGCCTGACATGACCCATGGTTCTCTCCAAACTTTCGCACATGATCTGAATATAAAAGCAAAAATTACTTAAGAACTTCAGTACATCTGAGAAATTCTTAATTCCAGAATTTCTTTGCAGGTCTCTAACTTGGAAGTCAAGAAAAAAATTCAACCAGTTTAAAGGTTTTTAAGAAAAGAACACTGGTTTTCAGAATTGGAATAAACTGCATGACCTTCAGCTTTATAATATTAGTGCACTATGGGAGAAAAATGAACTCTAGATAAAATGCCATGCTTGATCAGAACTAACTTTTCAAGCTAACTACCTCTTTAATTATAAATTATTCCACAAAATAGCACATCAGAGTGAAAAGTCACTACAGATGTTCTCTGAATAGCAAATGCTAGAAGATTTAACACCCTTCTTCCCACCCTATTTATAACTTCAGGCATAATCAGATGGGAATAACATTTTTCATGGGAGTTTCCCTGATACCCAGGTTGTGTATTACAGTTAGGAACTATATCCATAGAGGCTAGGAACAGACATTCAAAATGCCTGAGCCTGAATGGAGTCAAACTTTGTAGGTTAGTCTAACCTGGCCAGGCTATATCACTTCGTAATTGTACAGACATCCCAGACATGCAGACACATGCCTGCAGTGGCTCAGGCTAGAAGCCGGGGGGCGCTGGAGCAGCTCTCCCTTCCCTACCACTGCACTGATCTGAGGTTGCACATGCCCAGGCCCCAGCAAGATGCTCTGATTAGTCCAGCAGGGAATTGATAACAGTGTTTATCACCCCAACTCAGTGTTTACCACCCCATTAAAAAAACAACGGAGGGACATTGCCAGCTACCTGTTGATTCTACCTGTTGACTCAGCACAGAACATAGCCAGCATGTGGTCTGCTAGCTAATACGCAGGCACCTCTCATCAAGGAAGAGGGGAGGGGGGAATTCCTGTTTAGTAGGTAGTAGTGAGGGGGAGGAGGGAAACAACCCAGTCTGTGCCAGGGCTGCAGCCAGGGAGCAGAGGGGAGGGGCCAGCCCTGCTGTGGAACAGAGCCCTGCCGAGCCCAGAGAGCATGCTGGGATGCTGAGGGAGTCTGGTTTATCTTAAACCAGCAAGGGGTCTGGGACAGACATTGCATAAACTGGTTTGACCCAAATCAGTTAAGTCTGATGTTACATACCACCAGGTTTATTTCAAACTGGTTTCAGCCATTTTCAAATAGGTTTATGTGCACTGAACATCAGTTCTGTTACAGGCTTAAACTAGTTTCTGATCACTTAAACCAGTTTGTGTGTAATGTCTGTCCCTAGCCAGAGAGTTTACAGATACAAGCCATAATGCTGTTAGTGTATCTCTGGTTAAATGTGGTACCTTTTTCTGTTTCCTCCTGATGCTTCATTATTTAAAAGAGCTGGATTAGAGATACCAGTGTAGTCTTCTTACTTTTTATATCCTTCATTTTTCTCTCCTTTCTCATGTTTTCAATCTCTCCCCCAGTATCTGTCTGCCCACCTTATACAAGCATCAGTATCCATGCTCTTTCAGCTCCAATTTGCTTTTTTTCTTGATTAGCACTATACTTTTAATCTTTCTCTCTCATTTACCCCACAACTCTGCCCCACCAACAGGATGGAATCATGATCCAGCCAGTGACTTTAATGATCTTTGGAACCAAAGGTGGCATATTAGGAGCTTCTTCATCAGTGCCTGTGGGGAAGAACAGGTTATCTGCCCTCTCCTGCCTCTCCAGTTAGGAGATACGATTACTAGATATATTCACTGTTCCTTGAGAAACATGACATAATACCCAGGGATTTCTCTTATGCACTGTGCACCCTATGCATTATAAGGACAAAGACATCCTCTCTCTCTGTCTTGATTCCTTTTCTTGCCTCACTTTCCTCCTCTGAAATCTACCAAGGAAGAATAGAAGGAGGTCTCTTCTTGCATAGTATGAGTGGAATGTGAGACAAGGCCTGGTAGGATTCAGACTCAGATGTCCTGGAAGCCTCAGATAGCTTCGATTGTTATTGAGTGGCCTGTTCAGGACGCCCTTTCTAATCTACTCTGAGACACTATGTTGAATATGTTGATGAAGCAAACTGATTAACTGAATCTCGCACTGCACTATTTATAAAGGATGTATGGTCTGCTAGAGACCATACCCTAAGCAAATGCCCAGATACACTATCTGGGCTGTCTTTAATTGTGGAATCAACTTTCCTTCAAATCAGTCAGCATTTCACCAAAAAACACAAAAACATAGGCCAGATTTCCATCTTCTGCCTGATAGCAGAAAGCCTGCCCAGAGCAGGCAGAAGGTAAAGAATAGAGTAACTTATGCTGTGCTCTTCTAGTTTCAAAATAGCATTTAGGTTTACACCTCATCAAATAAAGCAGCATAATCAAACACTATAAACGACCAAACTCTCTCCTTACCTATATAGCAAGGACATATTCTTTTACTCAACTGTACTCGAAAATCAGAAGGAACAGCAAAACATAAACCGCAAGGAAGTTTGTGTTCATTTTTTTTAACGTAAAATACATTTTTCCACCTATGTCCACAGGCCTATGTAAAAATAAAAACAAACAAAAGCGATGTGAAAAAGCATTAAAATGGTGAAGGGAGCATGATAAAAGGTATTCAATAATAAAGACAATACATACGACAATGGATCCATTTTCTCCTGACTGCCTAGACATGCTAACACCCAGCCATTGATTATCCCTCTCTTCTAAACACGTCTTTCCACAAAATTCTCCAGCAGGATTGCCTGGAACAGGAAAAGGATAATGAATTAATAGAAACAGAATACATAAAATAAACTGAAGTTCTACACAATTTATTATGCAATGTGGTTATCAGTAGGCCTTATACCCATAAATATTTTATATAGGACATCCCATGGAAAGATATTAGCATAGTTCACAGTTTTTTGTAAATGAAAGTATGGTACCACACAGGAAATATATATAGCTATCAGGCCCAAATAGAGTCCACTAGATACAAAGAGACTGTATTATGGTACTTCCATCACTGTTGAAACTGAGGAAGATAGAAAGGTGAGCACAGATGCTCTGTCACATAAGCAGTATATCATTTTTTAAAAGCTGTAGTATTGTATAGCCCAACCCCCTAACATGATTTCATAGAAAGTACTAAAAATGAGCCATTGTTTTTTTTAATTAATTTAATCACAAACACCATGATATCTTATTATAAAAACCAGGGCTTTTAGCCAAGGAAATTTAAAGCCCAATATTTGGTACTCAGTTAATCCAAGATAGGAAGATTTTTCACACTTAGTTGTGAGTCCAAACCTCAGGTCTGAATCACCCATCACACCAAATTGAACTCCCAGTTCCAAATCGATCCATACAATGGAATCTGCAGGTGTTCATCTGAAATATCTGCTGATTCTCTAAAGCCACTGGATCTAAACTCTAATCTGGAATGAAAATCTTTTCAATTTACCCCTTTTCCTAGTCACATCTCTGTCCAACAGAGCTTAGGAATCAGTCATATTGCAAGTCCCTATTCTTATTAAAATCAGATCCCTCTAATTGCAGTATTTGTTTTGGATGTGAAACTAATACGGGTATAATACTTTTGTACTTGGTTCTCCTTACAGAAAAAGAAGGTATACACTTTTGAAGGTGGTTTGTAGTTCTACTTCTGTTTAAATGCATTCTCTTATATTTAAAAATGTGGGTAGCTAGTGAAGTTCTGCAAAAATAATAAATAGTGATCTTGTGAGTCTGGCAAATTCTTGTTTCTTCTCCAAAAACTGGAGTCCACATGTGAAGAAAATAACTTTAAGCAGGCATTAAAATATTCTATTCTATTTGAAAGACTTATATTACATATAATAATTTTTTTTGTTTTTCTTTCTGAAGGTGCCCACTGTACGTTTACTGAGACACTGAAAAAAGTTTTAATACAATATCTTCAAAATATCATTTTGCTGTTTCATTTACCAGAACTAACAGATATATAATACTGAAAGAAAAACACGTAATACAGTTTGGTAGGGCTTAACTCTTATCAAATTCAACAAATTCCTTTACTGATGAAGCAACCCAGAAAGTCTGGGTAAATAATGTTAATTAGCCAGCAGAGGGCATCAGAATAGATCAATGACTACCACAACACATTTCTACATTAAACAGAAGGAAAAATGAGTTCCCAGGAGAGCTGAAATGTATTTATAATCCATTAGTTTATAGGCTATTAAGTTCTAATAAATTTAGTTATCTGTAAAATCAATCAATCAATCAATTTAAAAATCATCACCCTACACTGACTGGGTATGTTGACTTCTTTTGTTACCATATTTAGTCTCTTTCAATAGTAATCAAAGGATTTTTCAGAATTATCACCTGTTAAAAGGATTTTGGACATATGATACTGGAAATAGTTTGAGGAAAACATTAAATTGATAGTAGAATTGTCCTGGCCTTTGGATTTTCTTTTCCTGGCAGAAAATAATCAAGAAGGCCCTCTGCAGGAGAAAAAGCTCTCTGAAATTATTGTTCTCTCACGTCCTTACTTTTTATTATAGGGGTAGTATCTTTTAACCAGACCACTGAGTCTTCCTGACTTTAATCAATATATGGAGTCCTCCAGATAAAATAAATAATACAGCTGAAGGTTATATTATGTGTTTTCCATGAAGCATGAGAATGACAATTTCTGCATACCATTTTCTACCTACCTCATGTCTGTTCTACTCGCTTTTCTATGTAAGCCCGAAAGCAGTGGTGGGCAATTCTTTCGGCTGGAGGGCCGCTTAATGTGTTTTGGTGAGGCGTTGCGGGTCACAAGTGTAGTTCCACTCCTTGATAGGTGCCCTGCCCCCTGGTCACCATCTTGTGGCTGGAAGTCCCACCCCCTAAACCCTGACCTTTGCCACTGGAAGTCTCTCCCCTTGCCCAGAAAGTACGCCTTTTGTGAGGGGTGGGGTTTGCTTGTATAGGGTGTGTGGAGGGGTAGAAGGGATGTGTGTGGTTGAGGGAGTATGCGGTTTGGGGGTGTGTGGGTATGGTGCAGGTGGGGTATGTCAAGGTGTAGAAGGGGTGTGGGGGGTGTAAGTGTGGGTGTGGCTGAGGTGTCTGGGGTGTATGTGTGGATGTGTGTGGGGGTGTCAGATGTGTGGTTGAGGTGTGTGAGACTGTTAGATGTGTCATTGGTATGGTGGAAGGTGGGGTGTGTGAGGGGGGTGGTATACGTGTGGATGTGCCCCTCGGGTGGTTCTGGGGCCTATTTTGTTCAATGTCTTCATCAACGACCTGGAAGATGGTATAGAGTGCACCTTCAGCCAGTCTGCAGATGACACCAAGCTGAGAGGAGTAGTGGATATGCTGGAGGGTATGGCTAGGATTCAGAGTGACCTAGACAAATTGGAGGATTGGGCCAAAAGAAATCTCATGAGGTTCAACAAGGACAAGTGCAAAGTCCTGCACTTAGGATGGAGCAATCTCATGTACCAGTACAGGCTCAGGGCTGACTGGCTGGGCAGCAACTCTGCAGAAAAGGACCTGGGGGTTACAGTGGACAAACTGAATATGAGCCAGCAGTGTGTCTCTGTTGCCAAGAAGGCTAATGGCATACTGGACTGCATTGGTAGGAGTGTTGCCAGCAGATCAAGGGAAATGATTCTTCCCCTCTATGCAGCACTGGTGAGGTCACATCTGGAGTATTGTGTTCAGTTTTGGGCCCCCACTACAGATGGGATGTGTTCAAATTGGAGAGAGTCCAGCAAAGGGCAACAAAAATGGTGAGGGCGCTGGGACATATGACTTCTGAGGACAGGCTGAGGGAACTGGGCTTATTTAGCCTAGAGAAGAGAAGACTGAGATGGGATTTAACAGCAGCCTTCAACTACCTGAAGCAGGGCTCAAAAGAGGATGGAGCCAAACTGTTCTCAGGGGTGGCAGATGACAGAACAAGGAGCAATAGTCTCAAGTTGCAGCAAGGGAAGTGTAAGTTGGTAATTAGGAAGAATTTTTCTCACTAGGAAGGTAGTAAATCACTGAAACAGGTTACCCAGAGGTGGTGGAAGCTCCATCCTTTGAGGTTTTGGCCGAATGATCTAGGTGGGGATGGTCCTGCTTTGAGCAGGGGATTGGACTAGAATCAGGGGTTCCCAATCTTTTTAGATTGTGGACCAGCAAACTGCAGATTGGAAGTGACCGTGGGCCGGTCTGCAGACCAGAAGTGACCACGGACCGGCAAACTGAGGACCAGCAAACTACAGTCTGAAAGTGACTGGCATACTGAGGAGCAGCAGCCAACCCTTTTTAATATTCTGTATAAAAAAGGGCTGGCTGCCACTCCACAGTATGCCGGTGACTTCCAGACTTCTGGTCCAGCAGCCAACTTTCCTGCAGACCAGCAGCCAACCCTTCGCAGCCCTGTATCAAGCTATGGCCCTGGAGTTGGGAACCTCTGCACTAGATGACCTCCTGAAGTCCCTGCCAACCCTAATTTTTTATGATTTTCTATGATTCTATGTGTATGGGGGCTGTCAGGTGTGGGTCTTGTTTGGCGTGGAGTGTGTGCATGGTTGCAGTGTTGGGTATGGGGGGGTGGGAGTATGGATGTATGGGGGGGTTTAGGTGGTGTCTGTGGGTATGGTGGAGTATGTAGCTGAGGTGTGGAGTGTGTGATATAGTGTTGTGTGCATTTGTGGATATGGTGGGGGGGTAGGATGTGGGTGGGTTGGGTGTGCATGTGGGGGACTTCCTCCCCAGTCTGATTTCCCCTCTGTCCACTCTGTGACGTGGCTGAGCCCAGCCCCTTCACGGGTGGAGGAAGGGGGAGGAACATTAGTGGTGCCTGCCTGGCTTGCTGCATGCTGCAATGGGTGGGACAGCAGCTGCCGTTGGCGGGCAGCAAGAAAAGCCCCTAGGAGAGGGGAGGGGGGATAGGGAGCAGAGCTTGGCACCACCAGCTCTCTTGGTCTCTGTCCCACACCTGCCCGGTGGGACTACAGCCAAGCCTACACTAGCTCTTGCTGCTGCTACTCCTTCCATCCCACATGCCTGCCTGGCAGGGCTGCGCCAAGCCCATGCTGGTTCCTGCTGCTGCTCCCACACCACCTGCCTGTCCTGTGCCTGCCCACTGGGGCTGCACTGGCTCCAAGTGCTGCTCCCACCCCATCTGCCTGTCCCATGCCTGCCCAGTGGGGCTTTGTAAGCAGTCATATTCCTTCGTGCCCTCCTCTATTCACACGACCTCTTGCCCAGCCATCCATGAGCAGAACCACAGCAAGCTGCAGGCAGAGCCCACCCCTCTCCACTCAGTGCTGTAGCTTCTTCTTCCTACTTGCTGCCCAGAGCACTGCAACAGGAACACGAGTCGTCGTCCCTGGAGGTCAGAGAAGACCAGCAGTTCCCTGGGCAGCGGCAACAGCAGCCCTGCCCAGAAGCTGTGCCTGGAGCTGGCGCTTTCTGGCAGGGAAGGCTTGGAGCACACCAGGCACTGCCCCAGGCAGGAGCGGGAAGGACTCAGCCCCATACAGAGTGCAGGAGGGGCAGCCATTATTGGGGCTGGATGCAATTAATCAGCTGGCAGGCCAGCCCCAGCCTGTATTTTGCCTGCCTCTGCCCTAAATCCACAGAGCGCCAATCTCAAGATCCAGAAGAGCAGGGGCATGATGGTAGCTTTTTCCACTCCTCCGACCTTTCACATGGTATCAGGGAAGTCTTCCTGTGCAGCTCCAAGCAGGTAAGAAATAATCTTAAAGCTGGCAATAGAAAATCTTTACCTGCT